TTTTCTCACTTCATATTCCCTGCTCTGCCTCAATAAGTTCTGATGCACTTCTGGGGCCTTTCTCAGTTACATAATAGTTATAACACTTCCTCAGTTCAAAAGCCACTAGAAACTTTTTTACTATTTTTGAAACCTACCTACTTTTCCAATGCTTGATGCACCAGTAAACTAATTAAACTTTAAGAGCTATAAAGAAGCTCAGGAAAAGAAAAATAGTAATTTAAAAAAAAAATCTTGTTAGGCTACAAACTAACAATGTGCTATTCAGAAACCTGGGATTGAAAATCAGGCAGAGAATTGTCCATGTGTTTTTGCACGGCATATAATAAAAGATATGCAGTTGTAGTTAGACCAGTGCCAAATTAACAGGTTTTTAAGTTTTTTTCTAGCTCCCTCCTTACCTAGGTTTGCATATGTAAAAAAACAACAACAGGTTATATAACACTGTTATTCAGTAAATCACAGTTGGCAGATTTTGTACAATACACTAGAATAAAACTGAACTAATCATATTATGGCTTAGTGCAATTTGTGAACCTGTCTGAAGTATATTTGATATAATGAACAGCAAATCACCATTGTCTTAAAATGGTGTATATAATACTTTTCTCAAGTACTATAACTAAAACATGTCTTGTTGCCAATAAGATAACTGTAATGCAACTTTGGTTAATGCAGCAGTAATGCTACTATTCATTAAACATTCAAATAAGAATAGAAAAATGTGCCTCCAGAAAAGCTACTTTGGAGGATTGCAAAAGCATCTGGAGCATCATGAGAGGTGACCTCTCTGCTCTTTTCTCAGTGGGGAGCCTCCACTGAATGCTTTCTTCCATGAATGGAAAAGGTCTTCTATTCCTGAAACAGCCAATCAAAATCCAACCCCCAATTTTAGTCATCCTTCAAAGAATGCTGTATCAGCGTGCTGCTGGGGTAGACTGTTCTCTTAGCAAACACATTCTGTGCGGGATCCAGTTTGGTCTTTTCTCTGAAACAACTTGACAGCCTCCTCAAATGTGAAGACAGCTCAGTCAGGTCCAATTTTCTCTTTGTATGAAAAGGTCACGTATATGTTTGCTTTGGTTTTAGTTTTGTTTTGTTTTGTTTTTTTTCCCTGAGCATGGATTCAGTAGCCAGCAATTACTGGCAAACCTCTTATCCTTAGATTCCCTTTCCTCTTCCTCATTTCACCCCAACTGAAAACAGAAATAGTGTTTTATTCCATGTAAGCTATATAGACAGGTCTGACAATCTGCTGCCACCTTCTGATAAGAATTGGCAAACATACTAAAAGAAAAGAAGAGACCCGAAGAGATGGAAAGTAATAACTGGAAAATGTTAGAATCTGCCTCTCTTTCCACTCTCTCCTATTTCCAGTTTTAATCTCAGAGGTATGCATTAATGTAAAGAGCCTTGCAGGAAGCTTCTATATTAAAAAGCTGTATACACCTCAGAGAACATAAATCAATGCTAGGGTAGCTAAAAGGCATTCAGCCTCCGTTTATGGCAGGAGAAGAAATTCAGCATCGAACATTACCTCCAATCAGCAACACCGTGCAGGCTTGATTGCGAACAAGCCTTTTTGCAGCACTCTCAAGTGGTTCCAGCACTGCAGAACAGCATGCTCTGATGATGCAGTCGGTGACATGCAAGCAGGACAATGCTGGCACGATGCAGGCAGAGCGAAATGAAAATGGTTTCGGCTGAGAGGAATGAAATCAAAACGACAGCATAACAGATGACATCTAATAGAATCGTTCCATCTTAAGAACACTTCATACTTCCCATTTCTGACAGCTGTGTAACAGTGACTAAAAGAATTGGCTTTTGAATGTGGGTAAACCTAGAGAAGAGCCCCACAAATACCCTTAGCATTATTTGTGAGGAAGAAATTATTGCTGCACCCCCCCTTTCTCCCATGTGTGCTGCTCTGAGCTTATCAGAGACAGAGGCATATCTGAAAAGTTGGTTAACTACTTAAAATGTTGCCTTCCTGAGATGCTAAAAATGTTCATATGGGATGGAGACATGAAGAGGGGGCATTTCCAGATGGAGACTCACTTTGGCCATAAGCCGAGACCTTTGGTGACTGGTTGATGTCATAACTGGGAACCTGCCATAAGAAACAACTCCAGGGTATCTCAGTTGGTTTTTTTGAATGAAAAATTGTCATTTCAAGACCCTGAATAGACAAGAGGGAAAGATGCTCAGACTTCTGTCTAGGTTAAAGTGGTGTCATAGCAATATGCTTTTGTCCTTAAAACACCTAGAAATTCACAAAACAGCTTAGATATTAGAGATATGGGAGTAGGGGAAAAATCCCAGAGGCAGTGGGACCTCTTGAAATTGCCCCAAAGCTGGTAACTTTTTATCTTGCTGTTCTTCTCATCACTTCTTCCTACTATTCTTTTTTGCTCCCAAAACAAGAGGCTGGGAGATGTTTGGGGGATGAGGGTTTCCTGTCTGTAGAGAAATAATCTTCAGGCCTAATTTAGAAATAAGCAAAAATAAAGCACGATCAGTTTCAGCTTCCTTTGAAAATGGATCCAAGAAGACTGGAGGTGGAACATCTATAGGTAGTCATTGACTTACGACCACTACTGAGCCCAAAATTTATGTTGCTAAGTGAGAAATTTGTTAAGTGAGTTTTGCTGCATTATACGATTTTTCTTGCCACATTTGTTAAGTGAATCACTGCAGCTGTTAAATTAGTAACACCATTGTTAAGTGAATCTGGCTTTCCCATTGCTTGTCAGAAGGTCACAAAAGTTGATTACATGACCCTGGGCCACTGCAACCATCATAAATGTGAACCAGTTGTCAAGCACCCGAATGTAAATCACATGACCGTGTGGATGCTGCAATGGACATAAGTGTGAAAGTGACATAAGTCACTTTTTTCAGTGCCTTTATAACGTCATACGGTCACTAAATGTACTGTTGTAAGTCGAGGACTACCTGTACTCATTTGGAAGTGCTGAAATGCTTCAATCCAATGATATTCTGTCCCTTTTAGCAGGGGTGTCAAACTGCCAGCCCGCGGTCTGGATGCTTCATCCAGAAGCCGCACCCACCCCATTGCCGGCAATGGCAAAACTGTCCTGATACGTTGCACGTTTGAAGTGACGTCGTGAGTTTGACATGTCTGCCTTTAGGGTTAAAATGGCTCCTCCCCCCTTTTATTTAGGAAATGAAGGAAGATCATCTTCTTTAGTTGGGGTTTGGAAAGACATATGGATATTAGTTGCTGCTGTTTGTTAACACTGGTGCTCACGTTTCTTGCAGTTGGTGTGATGCATTATGCATTTTTTATGATTTATGAAGTAACTAAATGGCTATGCAGTAAATGGCCTTCTCCCAGAGAATTTAACTTTCCATAGGCACTAAAAATAGCATTTTGAATATGAATACATTTTGAAATGCTTAGGGAAGGAAGGACAGATTATCAAAAAAATTCTTAGACGCAATTATTTCACAGCCCTTTGATTATTAGGAACCCAGATCCACCTGATCTTTAGTTCTCCAGGCTGTGCTGCCATCCTTCAATGGCTTGTTCTGCATTTTCTCCATTTACAGTTGAGACTGAGTATTGGTTGCATTCCATCTGTTGGCTTGGAAAAGAAGAGAAGATTGGATAAAGCAACAGAAGGAGAAAAGTGCAGAGAAAAATCAGTTCTTGGTGTGGGCTTGATAAGTCAGGTCATGCAACCTTTTAGAGCATTGTAAGCCAGGAGAGGTGGGGCCATTCCTACCATTAAAAGTAAAGGTTTCCCTGTCCAGTTGTCTCCAACTCTAGCGTTCATCTCTGTTCCTTGGTCAAGGAAGCCAGCATTGTCCGAAGACATTTTCTGTGGTCATGTGGCCAGTATGGCTATATGCCAAGGCTCACAGAATGTTGTTACCTTCCCACTGAAATGATAGCTATTAATCTAGTCACATTTGCATGCTTTCAAACTGCTAGGCGGGCAGGAGCTGGGGCAGGAACATTGCACGGCATCTCAAATCTGGGCTTTCAGCTTTCCAGCTAACAAGCTCAATGACTTTAACTGCTGAGCCATCGCACCTCCTGCCCTTCCATTGGGAAGAACAAAATAAAGGCCAAGTGCCTCCAACATTAGAGCTCACTGCACTAACACTGTGAGTGGGGAGCCACTGACAGTCATATCCTCCTGAGCATTTTTATTCCTGTTAATGGTAAGCTAGCATGGCTACCACAGTTGTGCTAAGGAAGAGGGCACTTGCAGAAGATGCTCTTCACATGCCATCTCCTTGCTTCAAAAGCTAGCAGATCTTTCCAGTGGATTTGGAAGTAGGGTTGTAGCATCTTAAATATCTGAGGGCCATCTGTAATCTCTGGGTTGTCCTTATGTAGATCATCAAATTAAAAAAAAAGCACATCTGTTCTTTTTTCACAATTTTGAGACTTGCTGTGGCTTGTAGATAATGTACTAGTTTTTTTTTTTAAAAAAATCATATTTCCATTTGAAATGAAAGAGCCCTTGTAATTATAGTTAATTTGTCTTTGCTTCTCTCCGACCCTGAAGAACGGCATCCTGTACCTGAGTAGATCTTTGGAATTACAGCATTTCCTTTCTTATTAAAATGAATTATGGGTAATGATAGAAAGTTTCAAGGGGAGCTCTGCAACTTTCAGTTTAAGAATTCTGTGAATGTTATATTATATTTCACTTATCCACATTCCCCAGGTCACTCTGAATTGTGCAGCCTAAGAGAAAAAAAGTCACCTTCCCTTATATCAAAATAGTGGTTGTCAGAATAATTAGGACTGTCTCCTTTAATTTCAAATGGAAATATTGTATAAATAATAAATGAATCAATATTGCTATTAGTGATGATGTTTGAATAGTGCTTCTAAATAATACAAAGTGGGGAAGATTGTAGTTAATGACACATTATGGGCATTAGCTGGTCTTCAGCAGTTCAGCCCAGAGAGAAATTGCAAAATTTATGCCTTTTGTTTATTCTGTTTTGCTGCTTAGTACCTTCCACTGAATGGAGAATTCATTATGGCCCCCGGTGCTGGATTTGCAGCTTTTGATGGCAATTACAGTCCAGGATGTGAGACAGGTATTGTGCTCAGACAACTATTAATTAGTCATGCAAAATATAAGCACTATGAGATTATTCCTCAGTTGTGCCTCTGTTCATTGAAGTCATTTTTCCAGTTATAATAAACTTTCTCCTGGAGCTCTCCAAAGTTTTTGGAATTATTGTTGGAGCTTTCCTTTTCCATAGTGGGAGGAAGATGAAGGAAATTACCAACACTGGCCATGTATATGTTTTCAGACCTTTTCTGCTGGGAGGTGTTATGGATAAAGAGGTGTACTTTGTTCTTGCTAACACTGCATTTGCTGTAGGGCAACTCACATAGAGGATACACCAGCTTATTGCATTATTTTATTTCTACTGGCAATATTGAAATCTGCATTTTTAAGCTTCAAGGCTTTTCTTTAAAGAAATATATTGATTTTGATTTGGTGCCAAATCTCGGAATCTTTTGGGATTGTTGAATAATAAAGTTAATGGCCTTTGTGGGTTCTTGCACCCAGAACTTGCACATTAAATTGTATACATCTAACCACATTGATTGCAATGGATTTAAGCATACCATAATCCTCTTACATTCAACATAGTTCTGGCTGTTTCTTCAGTGATTTTAGGTAGGTCTCACATCTTAAAGTTGACAAGGCTGAAAAAACAATGAGGAAGCAACATCTGATCCAACGAAGTTGCAAATTAGTTGTAAAAGGGCTTGCATCATGTTTTGCCCAAGCAAAATTAAAATAGTATATTTGACTTTTGAGTGGAAGGACACGGTGACTGAATATGGGATTCAACTAATTCTAATCAATGAGGAATTTGGGATGAGATGTGGTGCATAGAAAAAGATATCACAGAGAAAGAATCCCTTGTGTTGAGTAAATTGACAAGTCAATTGCTTGCAATCTGTATACCATAGTTGATATTCCTCTGAAAGAAGAGGATGTGGAAGCTTTAGCTGTAAAAGAAAATCCCAGGTCCCATTCAGTTCGGCAATATTAAGTGCCATAGCAAGGACTTTGGGTTCTTGTGAGTATACTGGTTTATGCATAGATGCATGGCAGCTTTATTAATATTAAATAGAAAGTTGTTAATGAATTAAATATGAATTTCGGTAATGCACTGTGTATAATAGCCCTCATGTACTATAATTCCATAGCAGAGGAATTATGATACTCAGTTATAGTTGGCATATTTGTAAAAAAGTGAGGGCTGTGGAAAAAATGGTTAATACATTACTAATAAAATTGTCATGCTTACTGTCATCCTAGCTTCCCACAGGCCTATTCACATATTGTATTTATGGGAAATTCTCTCCAGCAGCTCCATTTAAGTTCTAGGTAGTGTTCCATTAAACTGTCTGAGACAATAAACCAAATATTGCCATAATACAGTATGGTGACTCTAAACTTTTGTCACCAGCAGGGGTTGCTTGCTCTAAAAAAATTAATGCAGTAATCCAACAACTGAACATGAAGCAGCATCCTGTTCAAAGCTATAGCTCAACTTTTCCAAATCTGGTAGCCAGGTTGGATATTTTCCATCACAAAGATTGGGCAATGGCCAAGAAACTCAAAATGCTGGGAAATATGCTTTTCATAAAGTGATTGAAGGCAGGTTGGACAAGGATGGTATCATTATCACAACCCATTCTTCTACTTCTATCTTCCATTGTATTTGTTTTATATATAAACAAGTGATTATATTGTGAGGGAAGTTATAGATATATTTGATATCATGTTAGATATAAACATGATAAATATTTAGATATTTATCATATATAAATAGTGATCATATTTGTATGATGAATAAGTCTGGGGGAACAGCTGGGCTACGGGGCTGATTTGTAAAAATAAAATAAATAAAAATCGTATCCTTGTCCAGTGATATCTGCCAGAGAAGCCAAAATTGGGAAGATAATAGATGATAGATAGATAGATAGATAGATAGATAGATAGATAGATAGATAGATAGATAGACATTGTAAGCCCTGTCCCTTTAGAATGATGGCTTGTCCAACAACTTGTTGATTTTGACACACAGACACACCTATGGACACCACTACCCCATCCATCTGTATGATAGAAGCCACATATTGCAAGAAAAATGTTAGTTCTGCATAACATGGAGAAGTTCAATTTTTGGTAAAGGCAACTTTCTCAGAACCCTCATTCCTCTTGCCTTATGCATAATAAATTGGCCCAGGAAAGTAAAATGTTCTTAGACTTTAAAAAAATAATCTGAGAGTTCATTCTGCAGGTTTATGAGCAATTTTTAAAAATCAGTGAAGACAAATGGACTTCATCTATTGTCCCCCCCCCTCTCATTTTCATTATTAGCTTCAGAAATCACATTTAAAAGTACAGACAATTATGAATGGTATGATCCTACGATGTGGCATGCTGCAACCTCTTTGGAAAACTTAGATCTGGGCAAATACATTTTCCTTGTTGATGAAGAACGGGTTCCATGCCAGTATGATGATGTCATTTTTCAGCCTGAAACCTCCTTCCGAGTGAACATCAACTCTGAGCTAGCGATACAGCTTAAGAGCATTTCAGTCATGGGGCAGGTAAAATAGATGCTGCTATTTCATTGCATTACACTGTGTCTCCTTTTTTTCCAGAAAAGCTCACAACTAGTAGTATCAACTTTTTCCAAATTTATATTGAATGCCATGGAAAATAAACTGAATTACTTTCAAATATTTAGCTCCACTTTATTAACTCAGTCAATTCAACACATACACATTCCCTTAGAGCACAGATGTCAAACTCACCACGTCACGTGATGTGCCGCGACATATTGTGACGTTTTTCACATTGCCGGAGCTGGGGTGGGCGCGGCCTCCATGGGCCATCAGTTTGATACCCTGCCTTAGAGCAAGAGCATTCATTCCAGATGAGAAAAGCACAATGTGTGTGTATGTGTGCAATAAAAAAGGAGGGATGTCATATCTAAAGAATCAGATCAGGTCATTGCACAGCACATAGCCCTGCAAGGCATTCAGAATTTATATTTCAAAATATAAAGATAAAGATATTGGCCCAGTAAGCAGACTTAGGAAGAAAGATCATCACATCTGTTATACAATTGCTAAAATGTTTGCAGGATGTAGACTCATTTAAAGAGCAGTTAGTAAAAGAGGTATCGATGCAGGGCAGATCTGCACTTTATACTTGGCCCATTGCCAGGACATGCCACTCACTATTTCCATAATGTAAGAATGGAGGATGATGTTACAAATACACTGCACACGTGTGTTTTCCAGTTTTGATTCAAAAGATGCTGTTTCCAACCAGACCACTTAAGCCCTTTAATGGTGTGGTCTCCAGCACTTTGTTTCATACTAATTGAAGACCCACATCTGATTGGCTGCAGTGCCTGATACACCTCCTTGCTTCCATCAACTGGTTACTGCTTAGTGCAGCCAGTAATATGTTGGCTGTAATAAAAGATGGGATTAAAACAAAATCTAATAAATAAATAAATAACATGCTAGGTTTCTCTGTTCTCTGCTGGGTTGCAGGTGCTACCCTTTTTAAAATTTGCATTTGATCCAACAACAGCCTTTTAAATTAATGGACATTCCTCAGCTTTAGAAACTCATCTCCATTCAGCCTTTACATCTGCCAATCAGGACACTTTCCACTTCTGCCCAGTCAGATTGAGGCATGCTCCCCTTGGTCTCCCAGTTCCAGACCACTGCACAACTTCCCTGCCTTTCTCTTTATTTTTAAAAATCTTTATGTTGAAACACAGGATCATTGCTACTTTGCTTCAGTGAATCCCTAGTTCTTCCTTGCTTGAGTTCCCGTGGTCGTAAACAGGAAGATAGAATTGAAAGGACAGCCCGTTCCCTATTGCTTGTGTCATAACATCAGAGCTGTGATAATATTACCAAAAGGAGAAAACAAAAGGAAAGGGGTCTGTGTTAAGGTCAAAGGTGATAATCTATGAAGGGAAATGATAGTGAAGGCTTCCATGTGTGCAAATACTTGGGAAAGGAAGAAAAAGCACAGGAATGAGTGAGGAGGAAACAATCGTCAAGAGAAAAAGGACGAGACCTATCTATACAATGGACATTCAATGAAGCTTACCTTCCCTACAGGAATGGGAGGAGCCAGAGGCAGGGGAATGACCAATCAGGTCTTGCTGTGACATAGTATGAACTGAGCACACAAGCCCAGTCTCATTGCAGAGCTTCTGCAATCTGGACTGAAATAGCTGAAGTTGGCTTGCAAAACAGAGATGGGCAGCATAGGGAACATATTAAAAAATAATTTAAGAGTTTATAAACTCTTAGATTTAAGTCTTTGTTACACTGCCAAAAGAAGCTGAAGTAGCAAGAAGAAGTGGGGGGGGGACGTCTGATAGAAAATGTGGAAAGTTACTTCCAGTCTAAAGCATTAATATAATCTTCCCAGCTTTATGCCTTCCATCGTTCTATGGTTGTGTTGGATGGCTATTATGGGAATTGATTTCCTATACATCCAGAGGGCACCAAGCTGCTTTAATAGTAGTCAATTGTCTGTCTAGAGTAACATACCACTGTGTATTTCCTAGGGGTGTGTGTGTGTGTGTGTGTGTGTGTGTGTGTGTGTGACAGAGAGAGAGAGAGGAAGAGGGAGAGGGAGAGAGAGAGAGAGAGATTTCTGGAATCCACTCCAAACACGGATGGTGAGATCCGTGAAACCTAGCAATCTGAATTCCTACAATACTGACACCAAAAGTACAAAAATGTTTAGTATAATTCAAACACAATTTAGGAAAACAAAGGCAAACCCATCTGCTCATTCAAAAAACAATCACAGGAAAAAAATGGAAAAATCACAGCTCTCATATTTTTGACAGCTGTCCACCTTCTTTGCGATTGGTTGTCCTACTCACTGCATTCACTTCCTCTCCCCAAAACATTCATCCTTGGTTGCAATGCAGTTAATATCTTGAGGGGAGGAGGTTTAATTAAACTACTTTGATGGTGATTTGCTATAGAAGGAAATGATTTGCTGATTTTGTCTTCTTCCTTCCCTGAATTGGAATCAGAACTTCACCAGTGACAGTGCCCTGGCAGAATACATGCAGAGCTCTTCTGCAAAACTTCAATTCCATGGGCAAGGGACACTCCGGTTATCACATACTAGATGTCCAGACAAATCTGGCTGTGAATGTGGAAACTCAGCAGTAAGTCCTTGTGTTCAGACTTGGTATCAGGGTGGGAAATTTTGTTTTCTGCCCAGGTCACATCCCCTAGGAGATATATCAGTGCATGTCACTGCAGGTCAGTGAAGGCTAAAGTGCTTTTCTTTCTTTCCCCTCCAAAGAAATAGTGTATTTCTGTTCCTATGAATCAGAAGGAATCTCTGACAGAGGGCCTTTGAAATGAAGCCATGAGCAACATTAGAGCCACAGATAGGCTCTCTCTGGTCGAGTTTCTGCTATTAAGAGACTACTATCAATGAAAGAATTGAAGGAAATGGAATGACCTATTTAAAACCCTATATGGCTGAACTGAGTCATAAGCATCCATTCAGGCAGAAAGAACTGTTGATCCTGTAAACTAAGAAAGGAAACTGGGCAATGGCATTCATGTCTACAGAAGTGTAGTAGCCTAAACCGTGAACACTTGATCAGGTATTCCTCTTTAGGCCTTCCTGAAGAGACAACAGCATGCCAACAATGTGTGTATGTGTGTGTATTTTAGAACAGGGCTTTTCAACCTTTTCACAGATTGTAACACTTTTAGGACATGACAATATTCGAGTACCATCAGTGCTTAGCAAAGTGTCAAAAACTTGATGAATAGAAAAAAAGGGGGACAATTTGGGGTTTTACTGATTAGATTGATTTTTTGTTATAGAAATGGCTAGTTTATACCATTATGGAAAAGTAAAAAGTTGCAGTTCGATGTTAATGCTTCATTCTACTGCAATAGAGAAAGTTGGAAGTCAATGCCTTTTCTTTTCTTTTTCCCTTCTCCCCCTCACTTTTCTTTCCCTTTTTCCTCCCTACTGTGTCCCACTATGTGCTTTTGTATTTTATTCTACAATCTAATAAAATGTTACAAACTATTTTTAAAAAAAGGAAAAAAAGGACCGGTTCTACTCCTCCTTTTATACCTTCTCTTCTCCCCCCCCTCCTTTTATATCCTCTCCTCTCTCCCCCCACCTCCTCCTTTTATATCCTCTTCTCCTCCCCCTCTTCCTTTTATATCCTCTCTTCTCTCCCCCCTCCTCCTCCTTTCCTCTTCCAGGTGTCCTGGAAGCGCTGATCTGTTGGAGCTGTGTGCGCTGATCCTGGGCTCTCAGCAGAGCCCTGGCCATACCGCAGCTCCAGCTGAATCTCCGCCTGAAGATTATGTGCAGGTGCCAGAAGCGCCAATCAGCTGTAGCCATGGGTGCAGATCCTGAGCTCTTAGCAGAGCCCCGGTAACACCACAGCTCCAGCTAACTATCCCCCAGGCCTCTCTGGCACTGCTGCCTCTTCAGAACATCCACTTTTACACTTTTTTAACACTTGTTTTACAGTGCTTTTCAACCCATTGTACACATACCACCTGCCAGGTGCTGAAGTGCCATCAGTGCTACATGTACCGTGGTTTGAAAAGCCCTGTTTTAGAACATACTAGATCGTGCATTACAGTACTTCTGTTCAAAGTATTGATCTCTGTTATGGATTATGCCTATGATTTAAATGGTTTCCTATAGTTTCTGGTGTGAGGTTCATCTCTGAAAGGGACAAGAGAGGGAGGGAAGTTAACTTGATTCAAAGCCTGGTTTTCATCCTTTACAAATGAATTAACTGTGACAATGTGGTAATAATATTTCTTATGAAACCTCTTGATAGGCTATGTTTGAATTACCAGAAGTCAATTATGTAGTTTCTTTTCAATGATATTTTTTTTTAATTAAAGAGCCATGAGAGAATCTGTGCTGCCTTGCTCCAAAATTCCAGGAATAAATGTCCAATGGTTACGTGCAAAGATGCAATAAAGCCTACTGGTCATTGTTGTGAAATATGTGGTGAGTGATTATTGTTGCAACTGTATTGTGTATTATGTTTTGTCATTGTGTGACAGAAGAGCAAATTCCTCTAATCCCTTGTATGTAAGACATGGGCTGATGATCAACCTATTCCCTCACTCTGCTCATTCACATCATTGGAAATTCCATGGTAGAGCTTTGCATGGAAACGAAAAAGTTTCTATATGCGTATAAGGTTTCTGAGAATAGGAATCTAATCTGGACAATGATCAATGAAGTAAGCTTTATAATTCTACCTGAAAAGAAATGTATTTAAGGAAAGACATGATGGGGATTGAGATAGGCAAAGCCAACCATGTCCTTAAAAAGGAGAGCTAAGACCAAGTGCTCTGTGTATGCAGGCCTGGTAGTATAAGCAGAAGGAAATGATCTGAGACTAGCAATGTCAAAGGGGAGACAGAATGATACATAAAAAATGACACAGAGTAAAACTTTAACTAGGTAGATCCCACTGTTCCTTGTGGTGAGTAGATTGTGAAATGCTGAAAAGTCAGTGCCATTGAAATCACCTTCTAATATCCTATCATCTGTCTGTCTGTCTGTCTGTCTGTCTGTCTATCTATCTATCTATCTATCTATCTATCTATCTATCTATCTATCTATCTATCTGCTACTAAAACTCTTAATTCCCATAACTCTAATTCCCATAACTAACTGGGCAAAATGGTGCTTCATAGGGCAACACTTTTTGAAGCAAAGTATTTCTATTGGGCTAACTTACAGAATGTGTTCAAAATTCAGGATCCCTGGCTCTTGTTGAATTGAAAATTGAAAAATTTTACAAAACATTTTATGACATAAAGTTATCATAAAACATTTTATGACATAAAATTGTCATAAAACAATTTATGACTTAATATATCATAAAACATTTCCTTTACTGATGTTTGACTTGGCTATAAGGGTAACACAGGCTATTTTCAAGACAGATAAATCTCTGAATGTATCCCAACTTTTCCAGTGAAGTTGTAGGCACTGAGGAATTTGATAAGGAAATCTCTGAAAGGAACACCCAATGGGTCACAATTTGTCTAGTCAGTTAATAAAGATTCTGGGAGACAAGACAAAGTCACATTTGGGATAGCCATGGATTTGATTGTACACCCATTTAAGTAAGAGCTGAACCACTAAAGAACATTGTCCTTTTGTCCCCAGCCCTCACACATAGTTCAGAAGGATAATATGGTTAATGGTATCAGAAACTGCTGAAAGGTCCAATTCTGGCAAAAGGTCCATCCAATTCTGGCAAAAGGTCATTCACCAGAATAACCAATTCTGTTTCTATCCGATGACTAGTATTCCATCTAAAAAAGATTTAATCATCTTCTAGAATCCTTAACTAAAATCCTCTCAATAACTTTCCTTTAAAAGAGAAGATTGGAGACAGGATGGAAGTTGATTGAGAGGTGGCCTCTTCAGGTGGTCTTTTTTAAATAGCAGTGGTTCACTTTCCCTCAGAGAGATATTCCCCACCTCCCAATTGAGCCAGGCACATTAAAAATGCTAAGTGGAGCATAGATCCAACCCCAGGCAGCTATCACCATATTATAATCCACTTTCTCCATTTCCTTTGGTTTTACATATTCAAAAGATTCTCCAATAATGTTATTAGATGTTACCCTAACTCACCTCACATGGCTCTGCCCAAACAATATGAAGACATAGGCAAATGTGTGCAATTACCTACAAAAAACATTAAGAATCGTTCAGACAGACCGCAGGAGCTTTGCTTTTTAGTCAATCCCTAATTCAACTCTATTTAATCAGAACCCATCAGTTCTGAATCCTAAATATGGTTCAGAAGACAGGATCCCCTTATAAATCACAAAAGAGTTCAGCTTATCAGGCAGAGATGCTGAAGAAGATCAAATTAAAATACCCATGTAAGCCATCTTGATGTTTCAGAGAATCAGTAGGCTATGAATGCAAATGAGAAACAGCAATACCTAAGGACAATATCAAACTGATATTTAAGTGCAATTTAAAGTGAATATCTGTCAAACAGATTGATGTCTGAGTTTACTTAACTTTTATGTTTCATTCACATGTGTGATTTGCCAGATACCAAATATGGAATTTTCCTGTGCCATTTTTTAAAAACTATTACAAAAAATGAATGCTTTATGGAGTCACCATGTGCTCTTTAGACAAATTTTTAAAGCATTTAAAACTACATTTTCTGGAAATCCTTTTCTCATCTCTTTTGCATGCTGAAAAACACTCCTCAATAAACTAGCAAAAATCCAAAGTATAAATGAAACTCATAGGTATGCAATTTTAATGCCTCATGAATAAAGACGGGGCAGCTATGTCTTGGATCTCCATGGTACTCTGCCCAACTGTTTAAAAAAAAGGCCAGGTTTTTACTGTATGGGTTCATTTTCACTAGATCTACTTTATTTGATTGTATTATTTTAAACAAAGGTTTTGCTTTTACAGAATTTTGAATAAATAATCAACATTTAATTCTATTTTGGTCATATGCCTAAAACTAATAACATAAAAATTACAATTTAATAAAAATAAACATAAAAAGTCATATTGATAGAATAAAATAAGATAAAGTTAAAATTATTGATGTAAAATTACAGAGAACAGCTATCTGAAAGCAAAAGCATCTTATAAAATTACAATGAATTTTACAATGAATAATCTAAATGCTAAATTTATTTATTTATGAGACTTATATACCGCTTTAAGTGCAAGCACTCTCTAAGCGGTATACACCAGTAAGCAATGTATATATATATTTACATTGCCCCCAACAATCTGGGTCCTCATTTTACCTACCCCGGAAGGATGGAAGGCTGAGTCAACCTTGAGCCGGTGAGATTTGAACCTCTGACCTACTGAACACAGTCAGCTAAAGTGGCCTGCAGTACTGCACTCTAAATGCTGCACCACCTCGACAGTGTATTCTTTATGTTTGAGCTATGTCAACATCAGAGGACAACTGCAGAAGAAACAGTGGCCATATAATTTGCACAAAAGTTAAACAAATGGCCTTTGAGATGTGTTGTTTTGTCTGATCTATTCCATTTTTAGCCTGCTACAAACATTTGAGCTGTAAGGACAAAAAGCTACTGAGGAGATGTGTCTGAGTGCTGCCATCTTTTAACCTGTGAAAAACATGCAGAGGGAAAATTAGCTATCTTCTAAGATACTGCGCTGGAATCTGTGCAAGTGTCGGTGATGGTGTTTGCCACTGTACAGCTTGGCAAACCCAACTGGATCTTTTGGAATATTTTGTCTTGAAAGTCTATCCTGCTTAAATCAAGATGCTTCAAGCTGGGGAATGACTGGCAAACAATTAAAACGGTTTCTGGAGAAAGTTGATTGCACTCTTTCAAACAAAGGCTCTCTAAGATTGGCAAACCACTTAAGCAAAGAAGACCTACATCTGTCAAAGAATTGCTCCTGAGATCTAAATGGTTCAGTTGTTTCAGGTGTCGCCCAACAAAGTGCATGGCTGAATCACCAATGCTACAGTGGCACAAGGCAAGGTGCTGAAGGTCTTTCAGATGTGGTGCTACTGCCTGGATCCCTACATTTGTTATACGGTAGACTTCTGACAGGATAAGTGTCTTGAGAGTGCTCTGGGTGGCAATATTCAATAAGTGCTGGTTGGAAAAAGCAGGAACATTCCAGATTGCAAGTTGTTGGATTCTTGGGAAACTGCAGGAGGTATCTGGCACTTGGAACCAAACAAAAGGAATCTCACAGCATCTCAATTCCAGGGAGGTAAGAGAAGAGGGCATACAGCCATACTGGAATGAATGGAGATCTAGCTCCATCAAGCTCAACTGCTGGAGTTTGGGACATAGTTTACCCAAAGCCTGTTTACCCAAAGCCTGCATCAATGCTGAGGTAAGTACTTCTTGTTTTCTAAAGGAGAGGAGAGATCCCCGTAGCTTCAGAGTCCACAAGCTGCCTTGGAAATAGTTTTGTAGAAGATGCCATAAGATCTTGGAGGATATCCTGCAAGAAGAGAGGTCCACGTGTCGCCACAAGAAGTTGTCCCGCACCAAACGATGCCACCGTTTGCAGACTCTTGGTTCTTTCCTAGATGGATGTCACGGGAGTTATTTCCCCCCTTAGTTAGCTAGGATAGATAACTAAAAAAAAGATAAAAGTAATACTATAATTTATAAAATGCCACAAATATAAATAAAGCCATGCTAACTTATATTAAGTTGCTAATCCCCTGATAGAGGTTGTTTGTATTAAGTGATCCAATTAATTATAAAAAAAGAAATTGCAAAATAAAAAATAAAATGGTATGTATATATTTAAATGGAAAAGAGAAAAAAGGGGTGGAGAAGGAAAGGGGGAAGGAAGGAAAAAATATATTGAATTTCAGAAGCTTAGTTAAGGCTCAGCAGCACTTCATTAGAAGGGAACCTACCACATGAGAAGAAATGTAATGATGAAGATTAGTTAGAATTAGTGATGATCTTAAAGTGGTTGATTGTGACCTGAGGATGTGAGAAAAAAAGAGACACCATAAAAAGAACAAATGTTCCATGGTATTAATAGAACTTCATACAACAGCATATATAATGAGCCTAAAATCCTGTAAACTAAAATGATTATATGAGTGCCCTCATTGTTGTCATCATATACAAAACTGAGTTAAATGGACTGATCCATTTAATATTGGTAGACAAATTCTTTTGCAGAGCAAAAGATTCAGAACACCCAACACAATCAAATTAATTTGTCACATTTATCTGGCATCTTACAAGGGATCCTTGAGAGAAAATTATCATAGTAACAAGTACAAATTAAAATGTGTATTTTTATGGCACTGAAAATCTTCTACCTAAGATAGATTTTAATTCACTCAGGGAAGATCTGAATGAAAAGATGAGTCATAGGTCTGAACAATTTAAGAGACATTTCCACAATAGTGGAGAACATTCCAAAGAGAAGGTTTCACTATCAAGCTTGAACTTGCAGAACTAATTGGCATCAGAAAAACCAAGAATGATTCAATTCACACTTCCATGGAGGAATAGATGTGGAGACAGATGAATGACTGTGTGTAGACCAGGCATGTCCAACCCACAGCCCATAGGTCATATGCAACCCTGGAAGTTGGTAATAACTTCAGCATAAGATTTTATTTAAGAAATAAAGGAAGTTTATTATTTATATACATTAACTATATAAATATTTGTAAATAAATAAATAAATAAACTATATTATACATTTTATACATGGTCCAAGATAATTCCTCTTCACTCAATGCCACCCAGTCATATGTAGACATGCATAGTTGGAACTGGATGATACCCAAATGATTCTATTTATAAAATCATAGGGCTGGAATGGACCTTGAAGGTCTTCTATTCCAATCCTCTGCCCAAGGCAGGAGTCCTTATACCAACAAATCAATGTCTAATCTTTTTTTAAAAAAAGCTTCCAGCGATGACAACTGGCATCTTACAACTCTCACAACTTTGGGAAGCAAGCCATTCCACTTGCTTTCACTGTTCCAGGTAGTAGCTCTCTTTAATGAGTTTCTACCCATTGTTTCTTGTTCTGCCCTCAAGTGCTTTGGAGAAAAAGCCAGTCCCTTCATCTGTGTGAATGTCCCTCAAACTATCCTGTCATCCTTAATCCTTTTCTTCATTAAATTAGACATACCTAGTTCCCTTAACCATTCATTGTCCAGCTTAGTTTCCAGACATCTTATCATCTTTGTTGCTCTTATCTGCATTTATTCTAAAGTCTCAGCATCATTTCTGATCACGGCAACTAGAACCAGATACAGTATTACAAGTATGGCTTCACAATACAGTATAGAGTGGTACAATCACAGATTGACCATCATCCAATTATAAAATGTTTTATATTGTCTTATTCTGTATTTTAATTACAGGGGCCATCATTACCTTAACATACTCTGCTGATTTTGACATTGAAGTCTACCGAGACAGAATATTCCACACTTTTCTGAATCTGGTAAGTGTACTCTAAGCTTGTACATGATGGAAGTGAGCATGAAGACAATCAACTAGTCTGAATAATTACCATTATTGAACAGTAATTTGAGACAGAACAGCCCATGATGGTAAAAGCCAAGAAGGTGACCATGATGGTGCAGTTGACTTCACTTAAAAAATAGGCAGAGTTTTAATTACACCATTGTGGCTGCTACCTTGACTGTTTTTTACTTTATCATGTGGACACCCCTGAAAAAGGAAGTTTTAGGGGGACAGATAAATGAAGGAGACAACATCCCTTCTAGGACTCAGGTGGATGGACTTAGCTCTTTGCTCACTGTAACTTTTAATGGAAGCTGCCCATGACTGAACCTGAGACTTTTAGCAGGCAGGTATGTGCTCTGCCATTGAATTATGGCCCTTTCATAATTATTTGTTCCATAATTATCTGTACTGTATGCTGAAAGAGAAGAGACAAAAGATTGTGGTTTCTTCTCTGGTCACTTTTTTCTTTAAGAGAAAAATCAAGAAAAATGCAGTCTTTTATCATTTTCGTTTTGCCCAAAAGTGAAATGTATATAGATCATTAAACTGTTGCCCTAGAGTGAAATCATCTTGCCACTGTGCTGCTGGCACAGCAGTTATATTGTTATCATTCTGAATAGCTTATTTAGATAAGTTCTAGATATAACTCTTAATAAAACATTCATTGGAGCCAAAAAGGATGTGACCTAGAGAGGATAACTGTGGTATCCATGTCAAAATATCTGCTAAAATACTAAATGAGATTGTGAAATTTAGATTTTCATCTGAATCCGGACTATTTATCGAATTGCAATTAAAATGTAACTGCTTAACCACCATTGCTGACCAGGTTTTTCCATGGGTTACATGGCTCTTTGTGTTAGGCAGAATCAGACAAAAGAGTTAATCTGTTAATTAATCTATCAGTTGATTAACTCTTCCTTCTAAACTCCTACAGAAAGATGGGAAACTAGTGTAGACCAACAATGGACTAGCTCTAGCCACATATCTCTTATGCATGTCTATTTTATTCTTTGGATGTCCAGAGGGGATGGGAGGAAATTAAGAAATAAAGAGACTAGGGAGGTGACTGTAATTTTGATTTGGCCACTCCAGTTTTAGTTTAATTTTATTTTTTAATGAAATAGCTTTCCAAAACAATCAGGCAGTATCCAGTGGCCAATCAGTGTAAAGGTAGTTGGGATGCCAGTGAAAATAATATTAAATCAATAAATTAGAGCTGGACCATTGGATAAACACATTCCAGGGCTTACTGTTAGGAAAAGACTTGAATGAATTTTTATCTAGTCAAAAAAAGATAGTTAATTGGTCATTGTCATGACTAGCCTAAAATTAAAAATTTCTTATTATTTCTAGAAATGTTGCTTAGCATGTCTGACTGGCTAAAGTAGATATATTTCTCTCTCTTTTTCTTCTGCAAAGCCCAGAAATAAAGGTATTCAGATGGCCATGTCCAAGATGAAAAAATTGCAGACTCCCTTGAGAATTGTGCCACGTGGCTTAGACTCAATCATCCAGATTGTGCTAATTGACAATAAAACAGGACCCTATGCTGGCACTCATGCTGAACAGCTGGCTAATGACATCCTGAAGGATATAACAGACCATGGTAACTCTTTCTATTGTACTGCTGTGGTGTGTCCTTTTTCTAGAGGTCCAGCTCCAGAGAGAAAGCAGTCTACCTTGCCTGTACAAGAGTCTCCCTTGAATAAAGGGCATGGAAGAATTACTTTTCATGCCAAATGTCCTTGCAATGATAATTAAAGGATCGTGTTACCAGACACAGGAAAATTATCTGTCCAAAACCATAAAGAACCATTGATTGTTAGAATAGGCATTAATGTCTAGATAACCAAAGTGCCTCATCCAATAGCTTCCTCAGTGTCTGCTTTGTGACAAGCATACGAGTCGAGTATATATAGATAAATAGGTAGAGAAAGAGAGAGAAATTCTCTGGCTCTGGATATGCAAAGCTAAATGTGCTAGAAGCCATTCATAAAACATTAAGACATTGGAAGATTCACTAAGTATTATTTCCATTTGCCCTGTCAGGCTTTCATTAATGTACTGCTAGGAATAATTTAGCTGTTTTGGTAACAAGCTTTAAACAAGTGATTCCCTGTATGCGTGTGAAAATGCTTTTATCTTGTTGTAGCATTTTGTGGTTTAATTACAGTCCTCTCTGGAATGCTGTATTTTTTTAAAAAACAAAATATCATGCATCATTTTGATATGTACAACGATCAGAATAGTGACATATAATACTTACAATTATCACTATAACCAATAATGACAACAGCAATAACAGTGTGCATGTACAGTATCTTCTAAATCAACAGTCCCCAACCTTTCAATTCCGTGGACTGGCAGCGGGGGTGGTGGGAGGGGATGGTTTCACACTTGTTCATGCCACTTGTGCAAATGGAGTTCCTGCTCTCACCCACCCCTTGCCCGTCCCAATCCCCAACACACCACGGATCCCTAAAGGACTATGCCTTATTCCAAGTCAGACTTTTTTTTAACCATTCAGTCCAATATTGCTTGCTCTGAATGAAAGGAGGTTTTCAAAGTCCTAGATCAGGGGTTCTCAACCTTGGCAACTTTAAGACTTGTGGACTTCAACTCCCAGAATTGAAAAAAGCTGGCTGAGGAATTCTGGGAGTTGAAGTCCACAAGTCTTAAAGTTGCCAAGGTTGAGAACCCCTGTCCTAGATCAAGATCTGTTCTATTATTTGTTACTTCATTCATTCAGCAGGAGATACCAGAATCTGAATTTGAGTCCTTTCTCTTGCCAAATATATGCTCTACCACTGTGGTCCCTTCCTGAATCTCTCCTAAGATTTTCAAAAAGGTCTTATTATGTATAATATTATTTCTACTGTTTTAATTTATAAGCTGTTATATTGTAGTACATTCATTGGCTTTTATAATTTTGTATTTTATACACTACATAGACGTATATACTTTCCAAAACTATTGGCCACAACTGACATTACTTCTGAATAAACACAGGATTGTGTTGTGCATGGGTTAACAATCCCACAGTGTTTCTTTTTTTTTCCAAAGCTGGGGAACGTGCATAGCAGCAGTAAAAAAATGGAAACAGCGAAAGATGAAGAGGTCGGTTGCTGCTTTCATTTGTCCTCTTTGAGGATAATTGTTACTTGCTGGTGAACACAATGCTTTCTGCAATGAGGAAATCAGCTAGAGAAGCATGATGGAAGAAGCTATGTCCTACCTAACAGAATTTTGATTACTTCCTGCAATTACACTGACATCTAACATTTGCTCATTTTCCAGGAAAATTCTTTGGCATTGTGACAGCCAACCTACAAGTAGCCACTGGCAGCAACTGGAGTGCTCAAGGAATCAGCAGCCATCTTGGCACTATGATTACTGGGATTGTCATAGGAATCCTTCTTGTCCTGCTCTTTCTGGGAATTACTCATTTTCTTTATAAAAATGATGCATTAAGGTAATAGATACATGGCATGCTGTAGTATGTTTTCTTGGGTAATTATAGTGTGGATAAATAAGTATATTTTTTTCCTATGTTTAAAAACCCTGAATACAGAACATGATTGTTAGAGAGAAAACCAGACCTGAGTACTGTCCATTAACATTTGCTTGTTTGTTTGTTTGTTTATTTAGTATGCCACCCATCTCACTATCAAGTGACTCTGGATGACTTACAATATCATAAAAGCAATATACAAAATGAAAATAAAAACATTACAATATCAGGTCTTAAAATTGGAAGTTAACATTATCAAGTCTTAAAATTGAAAGTTAACATTAACAATAAGTTAAATAAGAATCAGTGTATAAGGTGGGATTTTATCTTATTAAACAACTAGCCACCTTAAGAATGGGATACCCTAAGCCAGCTGGCACAGCCAAGGTTTTTGGCGCTTATCAAAGGCCAAGAGGATGGAGGTGGATCTCACTTTTCGGGGAATGATGTTCCAAAGGGCAAGAGCCATAGTAGAAAAGGCTCTTTTCTTGGGCTTCATCACCTGTAATTCCTTAGCTGATGGAATCTGCAGCATGCTGCTTCTGCCATCACAGGTGGGGCAGGCCAATCCCATTGGTGGGAGACGTGAGAGCCTTGACCCATGCCATGAAGGGCTTTAAAGATGATAACCCACGCCTTAAATTGGATCCAGAAGCAAACCAGCAGCCAGTGCAGCTAGCACAACAGAGTTACTTGGGACATCTAAAACTGTTTGTGCTGATGTATTTTGTGCCAGCTGAAGCTTCCGAATATTCTTCAAGGTTAGCCTCATGTATAGTACATTATAGTAGTCCAAGCACAAGATCACCAGGGCATGAGTGACGTCACAATCCAGGAACGGGTGCAACTGGTGCACAATGTGAAATTGTGCAAAGATTCTCCTAATCTCAACTGCCACTCTCAGGTTGTATATGGTATCAGCCTGGGGAAGTGCAAGAACTAGAGATGTTAAATTGCCTGGTCCCAAGGTTCCACATACCCATAGTCACTCAATCTTATCAGGGTTCACGTGAAGCCTGTTGGTTACCCCACCCATACCCCCCCCCCACTGCCTCCAGGCACTGGGTAATAGCAGTAACAGCCACACTGCATCTGGGATAGGGATATTGTATAAAGTTGAGCAGTGCTTTTTTTCTAAAAAAAAAAAGTGCCGGAACTCACACATGTCATACAACCCGCCTTGCCTACCCTACAAAGTTTCATCCAAAAAAAGTACCGGAACTCCATTCTGAGTGTTCTATGAGAAAAAAAGCCCTGAAGTTGAGTATCATTGATGTACTGATGGTGTCCAAAGATCTCACCTTGCAATTTCATGTAGATGTTAGAGTGGAGTGAGATGATAATGAGAATGGACCAATTTTCAGTCTTCTCTAACTAGGTGACTTTCAGACAAACTGGGGCCTTAGCTTTTTACAGTTCCCAATCAAAAGACATCCTGGCTAGAGACAAACAATACCAAAACATCTGGAGGTAAAAGGTTCAAGAGAACTGAATAACGTGATCTACTGGAATGAAGGAAAACCTTTGACATGAGTTTAAATTGCATACTTACAATATTAATACAGAAGACATATAAAAGAAGATATGCTATAAGCATCACATAATGTTGCTATATAAAATGACATTTCTATTCACTTGGTTGGCTTTTGTTTAATTTTAAAACAAAATTATAATTTATAAATTCAGTACATTAATTTTTTATAAACAAAACCCTTCCCTCCCCAAAATAGAGCTCCCAACAGCTGTTAGTAACAAGAAAAGTGAGATCAAAAGGAAAAACATTCCTTCTCAGCTGGCTCAGCAGTCAAAGCAGCTCATTTGCCAAAGGGCCTGTCTGAATAAAAATATCTTTGCTTGCTGATAGAAAGAGAACTGAGACGGATAGAATTCCAGACCCACCAGTCAACATTTTGACCAATTCATCCTTCTTAGAAAGAGGAAAGCTTCAAGACTGAAATATCTTTTCCCAGTTAAGCCCAGGATCATATATCTCAAAGGCACTGGATACGACATTTATTCTTTGGGAGTACTTTTGTTCAGTCTAAGTCAGTGTTTCTTAATCTTGGCAGCTTTAAATCTGTGGACATCAACTCCCAGAATTCCCCAAATGGAATGACAGTTGAGGAATTCTGGGCATCAGTCCACATATCTTAAAGCTGTCAAGGATGAGAAATACTGGACTCAACCAGTGGAGGAAAAATAACACCTTCTCAATGTTAATCAGGAGCGATGCTCTGTGTATAAATACTGTAAGCTCTGACACTCTGCCATCCTTTGGGAACACGATTCCTCTTCCCAGACAAACTTCTAGCTCCGTAGCTCATTCCAGAACAAAATAGAAGCCTACAAGAAAAATCCACAATGTAACTACACACAGACTAAGAGCTAGCACCTCTAACTTCCTGGTATAATGTGAGAAGTAATAACATCTGCACTGAAATTCCATGGCTTGGCACACCATTATTTTCATGGGGGGGGGCGCACATTTGGAGAGCCAAGGGAACATTGGCCTGGTTGCCTAGGCAACAGAGATGTTGCTTCTCCTCATCCCCATCCCCCAATTGGCAGGCACACTAAGAAAACAACAATAGCCTCCATGAAAAGTGGAAATTGGAGGGGGGGAGTGATTCATGGTGCTTTTTTTTAACCCCCCCCCCCCGAGACTGTCAGGATCAAATTGCATGAAAATATGATTCAGTATAATAACAGATACATAAAAAGAAGCCAATGTGTTTAACACTTTGTTTTATTTAATAATATGATAATTTGTCTCCTGCCTTTCTAATGCATACACAGCATTCAAAGTGGCCAACAGCATTTACGTCAGTACAAAATTAAAATACCTTAGACCAAATGATTTGAGCCATAGTCTAAAAACAAAGGCCAATATAACACTGAAAAAGAATATCTAACAAGAGCAGGGAGGGAAAGCAGATAACATCTTCAAATCAAACCGCTCCTGGGGAAAAATGCCTTCCTAAAGAGGAAAGCTTTGAGCAAATAATCTGGATGCCCATAAGCAATCTTACGACTCTGGAGATGAGCCTCCTTGGAATACTTTCCACAGCTCAGAACAAAAAAATTAAATTCTGCAAGATATGCACGGGTATGATTTGTAGCTCCCTCTGCTACCAGAAGGACATGTCAGAAAGTCATTTGCTTTTTTCCTTCATATATTAAGAGGAAATGTCCCAGCAAGACATGGGGAGTTGATATATGTATAGGAATTTCAAGAGAGCAGCTCTTCCTAGAGCCAAATTTCAGAATCCCATTTGAAATGGAACCATTACAAACAGATGGTTTTGATTACATCTGTTTCATGTAGTGCCTGTTATAAATATGAGGGCTGTGCTAATCCATCACAAGTGGATTTGAAATATGTGGGAGAAAGCTCCTTTCTTGAATGCAGCGACAGCCAGGAGCATCTTCCTGAACAGCCGTACAAGCTTATAATGAGAGTTTAAAGATGGGATCAAATTTGTTATGCACCTTGCAGGGTGACCCAGGTCATCTTAAAAGGAATAACAGCGATTTTATGTAGCTATAGGGAATAAAAGGAGTTCAGCTTCTTATATCACCATCAAACATGATTTTCTGAGGACTTCTGGCCATGCCCTCCACCCCCCCAGAAGAAGTTAACAATCAAAGAGTCAACCTTCTTAATTATACTGTCACATTGGTGGACTATTTTGTCTGGCACTTGTGAATTTTCATTTGCCCAGGTGTTTAATGACTAACATATTTGATGATGATGGTGATGGTGATGGTGATGGTGATGATGAGGAGGAGGTGGAGGAGGAGGAGGAGAAGGAGGAAATACTTTAGTCACAGACCAAAGTAAATAAAAAAGCAACATTAAAATACCTGGGATAAAAAAGGCTTATACACGCTAGGAGCTGCACTAGTGTCTTCTCACTGTATTGTCTTCTTACTTTCTTGCTTTATGATCTTGGTTATTTAATAAGAAACACCCAATTGACTGTTGAGATAAGGGCTGGTAATTTGTGATTAGAAGAATGATTAACTCTGTCATCCAAGAATGATAGATAGAACTCATCTATTCACACATGTAATCTGGATAGGAGATATTATTGAATCTTCTGGTCAATAGCATTGAGGGCAAAGCATCTATATATTTCCTTCTGGGTGAAGGTGCAAGGATATAATAGAAGTGTTTGGGGTTGGTAAAAGCTAGATACTGTGCATGAGTTCCTTCTGAGGTATTAAATTGCTTTGTGAATCAAGGTTAAAAATATGTTCTGCTTAACCTTGTTCCAAGCTTTGTCACTTGTTCTCTGTGTTTACTTGTGTGATTTATTGCAAAAAGTATGTGTATCAATCAATCAATCAATCAATCTGCAATGTTTCCATTGACTGCTTTATAGATAGCCATGATAGAATTGGGACAGCCCAATTCTATTTCATTGGGTAGAGAACAATATGGAAATTCCAATTCTAGAAGTTATCTAGAAGTTGATACTGATAGGTCTGCATATTCCACAGCATTGGAGATGGCAAGCTAGATAAATTTGTTCGTTAGTTTAGGCAATGTATATATGGCCACTCAAGGGAAATTGAGTGGTTAACATAGAATTAAAAACACAAAACAAAATAATCAAACAGCATAAACATCATAGAAACATACCCCCATTCAACAAAACCAAGGCCATGTCACAGCATGTTCATATTCCAAAATCATTTTCCAGATGGGTTCCTCCAATAGTCTAGCAAAGTAATTGGAGGCAAAAAAAGGATTTCAAAAGCCAACTTTATCTGTTTCAAAAGACATGTTGTGTGTGACAAAAAGACATACCTACAGGGTCCCATTAGGTGACATTGTTTTATGGCAGCTACTCAAAACATGCCATTTCCCAGGGGATGCAGCAGCCAGAATCGAAGATAGGCCATCTTGCAAACAGTTATGGTCATAAAGTAGACAATATAATGGATGGAGCCTAACTCTCATGTTCTGCACTCTGAGATTATTGTGCCACTATGCCTAATGTTAGGATTGGCCCCTGCTATATGAGTATGCCACTTTATACTATCAAATCAGCTATGTCTCTCAGATGTCAATTTCACTGTGTCTTGGAAACCTGTTACTAAGATGCTCAGTATCTTTACATACTCTAATATATGTTCTTATTAATCCAGCCTAAATACAGCATTTATTAGAATTTAGATCACAGTAACATCAATTCTTGTGCACCATAAATGTCCTGTAATACCAATGTGTACTTTGAGAGTTTATTTTAATTTTCTTGTATATTATTATAAAGTTAGCTCACACATCTGCTATAAAGACTGCTGGTATTAGGATGGCTTCTCTTTTTGGCCAGTTTTCACTGATGGTACACAGATTTTAAGTTCTGATAGTTTATTAAATTCAGTGGACTTCAGTGACTCTTATTAAGAAATCAAATGCAAACGTCTTTGTTTATGCTCTGTCATTTCTATTTTCACAGATCTCTTTCCTCTCTGCATCTTTCCTCTTTGTGGAACCGAAGAAGGGATCAAGAAGATTTTGGTACGACTGAGGAAGGATTTGATAATCCCATGTTTGACACACCATGTAACCCAAGTGTAAGGGCTCAGTTTTCTGTTTATTTATATATGTATGAATAATGCATGTCCACCAATGTGACAGGGACTTCCAGAGCTCAAAACCAAACAAAAAACCCCCACACACATTATCCTGCTGCATTTGCACTGGCAAAGCTAAATGTGGGTGATTAACATTTTACCAAATTTATTTTACTCTGACAGTTTCCCTCTGGCACTGAAATCATTGGGAGTATAAACATATGCAGTATACAAGTGCAAAGTCTGGAATACATTCCCAATCGATCCATGCCAGTCCACCCAATACACCTTGATAAGCATCCTATTTCAAAGTAATAAAGCCTCAGAGGCCCTTACCTGTAGGAATGGGATTGTTGTTGTTAATTGCGAAGTCGTGTCCGACCCGTTGCGACCCCATGGACAATGTTCCTCCAGGTCTTCCTGTCCTCTACCATCTTCTGGAGTCCATTTAAATTCACACCTACTGCTTCAGTGACTCCATCCAGCCATCTCATTCTCTGTCGTCCCCAGGAATGGGATAAGGGCATCTAATACGAAATTTCTTCTTGGAATAGGGTGCCGAAATTATCTAGTTGTTCCTGGGCCCAACTCCCTCCCAGAATTGCAATTTTAAAATATTTTTAAACTATTGTTTAAGGCAAAAAGCTTCTGAAGTTAGTATTTATTATTGCTATTTAATTAATAAAAAAGGATAGAGAAAAGAGCAGAATGATAGTGATACAAAACATATTAAAAGGTACTACAGTATAACAAAAAGTGGAAAATACAACAAAAAGAATACGTCATTGTAATGATAAAGAGTTACAATTCTATATATACTTATCTAATGCAAATATTGGTCAAGACATGTACATTTCTGATACATTTATAAAGCTATTTTTAACCTTCTGTATATTCTGTATAAATGAATCCCATATTTCATTATACCTGTCCATACAAAATCCACATCTATAGGCAATCTTCTCATAGATGACAAGTGCAATCAGGTCTTCAATCCATTGAGTGAAAGTAGCCATATATTTATGTTTCTAATGCTCCAATACTATGATCTTTTGGCATAGTAAGGGCACAGAGAATCTACTTATGTGTTTGTTCCATATAGTAGATAGATAGTTCAAGAGGATTATCCTCTGAGAAATTTAGCTTTTCTTTGACAATCATATGTATAGAGTCTACTACTTTTTCCCTAAACTTGGTAAGTTGTAAAAAATGTGTTTTAAAAAAACATTATCCTCATTTCATCTCCCCCCAAAAATGCTCTTTTGACAGTCCTTTTCTATACAAATGGAACAGAATCCAATTTTTGTTATATAAATCATAAATTGAGATCAATTGACACTCTTGCTATGGAAGTTAAGATATTCTAGACAAGATATTCTTATCTAGATATTAGGATTCTTAACTCTACTCATATCTTAACATCTGCATATCAAACTGATTTATTGATAACAAATCTATACAAATTAATAATGGGTTTTAACAAATTGTTCTAGTATCTCAATATCTCCAAAGCTGAAAAGGGTTGGTCCAAACAATATTGTTAACAAATGTTGCAACTGTAAATATTGTCATTGGGCGATATCTAATAGATGATATTTATGTTTTACATGGAATAAGATAGTAACGGAGTTGGGAGGATCCTTGGTGATCTTCTAGTCCAACTCCCTGGTCAAGCAGGAGATCCTATATCATTCCAGACAAGTGGCTGTCCAATCTCCTCTTAAAAAACTCCAGTGATGGAGCAGTATGCTAAAAATTCATCTTCATCATTTATCAGTTAGTCAATATCCATGCTTCCATGCAATATTTTTATATTACCATGTTTTCCCCAATTTTTAAAGCTGGATTTCCCCATAAAATCAATTTGGCATGGGAAAAGGGCAAAACCTCTTTTTAAAATTAAATATTAAATCCCATAGCTTTCTAACTGACATAATTGTTTCCAGAGATATAGAGTTTTAATATATTTAATCCCTAATGCTATCCATCCATCAAAGATGTGAAATTAAAAATAGAAAAAAATCTGTATATTGTTTTACATCATAAATCTGATACCAAGCCTGCTATTGATCTAAAGCCTACTTGTTATTCAGTTACTAAATAACAATAATAAGAATTAACATTTTAGTTTATGAGATATAGATTGGCACTATTATTTAAGAGTAAATTAAAGTTTCTAATCTTGATTTCAACCTGATGAAGAAGAAATATTGCAGCTCTCCCATGAAGAGGCATGCCATAAAACAGGAGTGTTTGAATATATGCTTTTGCAAGTGATCACTTCCCTTTCATTAATCCCTTAGAATAGGATCAAATGACTCCACTTTCATTAAACCAATGATACTACTAATAGTGTAGACATAGTCTGGAAATTGAAATAGTAATAATCTAAAGGGAAAGAAACCATCACAGTGGAGTTCTTGATTGTAAGGGATCACGATCAAGATTTAAAGGGATTGCATTTTTTTATTTTAAGAAAATTGATTTTAATAATAGAAGAGAATATTTATAGCTCAGGGTTGAACTGAGCTTCTCTGAGATTGGTTGTTTTCTTGCAGACATTTCATTACTAAACTAGGTAACATCATCAGTGCTAGAAGGGAGAGTGGGGTTTGCTCTCATTTTATATACAAGAAAGCAAGCCCCACTTCCCACTAGCATTGATGTTATAGGCAGGGCTTTTTTTTCTCATAGAATGCTCAGAACGGAGTTCCGGCACCTTTTTTGGATGGAACCTTGTAGGGTAGGCAAGGTGGGTTGTATGATATGTGTGAATTCCGGCACCTTTTTTTCTTTTTAAGAAAAAAAGCACTGGTTATAGGTGTGGCCCTTCTTCCTGTGTCCCAAGACAACAAGTTAAGGCTGGCCAAGGATGCTAAGAACAACAAAAAGGACTTCTTCAGATGTGTTCAAAATAAAAGCCAGATCAAAATGCTATGAAGTTGCAAAACATTAATGAATAATAAAGAAAAAATAGAACTATTCACCTTCTGACAAAATGATGTGAGTTCCAACGAGCAATTCTGAAGAGCAGGATGAAATGGCAAGATGGAAGCTTAAGTTTGATAGAAACATGCTCAATGAATATGTTACTTTGAATAAGTTTAAATCTTCAGTGTCAGATAAACTTCATACCAGGGTACTGAAAAACCATGCAGGTGATCTACCAAACATTTATGTTTTATAAGCTGTGGTGGCACAGTGGTTAGAATGCAGCACTGCAGGCTACTTCTGCTGACTCCCGGCTGCCGGCAGTTTCAGTCTGCTAGAAATGTTTCACTCTTGCATTTAATAATATATAATAAAGTTGGAAGGGAGCTTGGAGGTCATCTAGCCCAACCCCCCCTCAGGCAGGAAACCCTATACGAACTTTATCAAATGCCTTACCGAAGTCCAAAAAAATTATATCCACAGCATTCCTCTAGTCCTCTAATTTTGTAACTGGGTCAAAGAATGCGGTAAGATGTGTCTAGCATGATCTGTTTTTTAACAAACCCATGTTGGCTTTTAGTAATGACTTTGTTTGCCTCTATGTGTTCACTGATTCTTGTTTGATTATCTTTTCCAGAATCTTCCCAGATATTGAGGTCAGGCTGATGGGTCTGTAGTTTCCTGGATCTATTTTTTTATTTGTTTTGAAGAGGGGAACTACATCAGCTCTTTTTCAGTCCTCTGGTAGTTCCCCAGTGTTCCAGGATCTTTGAAAAATATGGTTCAGTGGTTCTGAGATCACATCTGCCAGTTCCTTGAGAATCTTGGGGTGTAATCCATCTGGTCCTGGTGATTTGAATTTGTCTAGGGTGGATAGGTGCTCACCTACCATTTTCTTGCCTATCTTAACTTGTGTTTCTAATCTATTTTTTTATGGTACTGTTTTTGATAAGTTGGACTGTTTGCTTTTTTGTTATTTTTGACTTTGGTCACAAGCCTTAGTTCATTTTGAGCCTTAGCTTTCCTCACCTCATCTTTGCAGGCTCAGACTATTTGCTAATATTCTGCTTTAGTTATGTGCCCCTCTTTCCACTTTTTATACTTGTCCCTCTTATCTTTCAATTTATCAGAGAGTTCTTTATGCAGCCATGCTGGTTTCTTTTGAGAGCTATTATTTTTCTTCTTTGTTGGTATTGTGCTAGACTGGGTTATTTTTAAAAAATTTCCCAAGCTTCTTGTTTTCCCCTTGAGGATTCTCATCCATGGAATCCCTCCCAAGCCCTCTCTAAGTTTATTTAAATTAGCTCTCTTAAAGTCCAAGACTCTAGTTTGACTGTGTTCTATTGACATATGCTTCCTACGTACCTGAGTTAGCTGACTAGCAAAAATTCATCTATTTCCCCTTTTATATTGACCCAAATGCATTCAAGAGTCTCACCGGCTCAAGGTTGACTCAGCCTTCCATTCTTCCAAGTTCGGTAAAATGAGGACCCAGATTGTTGAGGGCAATATGCTGACTCTGTAAACCGTTTAGAGAGGGCTGTAAAGCACTATGAAGTGGTATATAAGTCTAAGTGCAATTGCTATTTGAGAGAAATCCTGGAGAAATGATGAATGCTGTCTCAATCTTCAGAAAAAGGAAAAATGAGGACACATTACTCAAAAGCAGTCTGCCAGTTCCACAGTATAAAAAGATTGAGCTGTAAACAACTTGAAACAAGGTATTAAATATTAGATGTCAGGCTATGTATTTCTCCAGAGCAAGGCTTCCAAAGCTAATCTTATCTCATGCATTGATCAGGTAACTTCCTTGGTAGATTGTTAAATGCTGTGAGCATAATATATCTTGATTTCAACAAAGCATTTGACAAAGGACAACCATGGCATTCCAATTAGCAAGTTAGTTAAGTGTGGGATGGATGGCATAACAATGATATAAACACATACTTGGATCAAAACTGCTCAAAGAATATTTATCAACATTAAATTAGAAGGGAGATCTTAAATGGACTGCCACAGCATTTGGCCTTGAACTCTGTATGTTATATATTAATAGCTTCTATGTGGAGGGAATGCTTTACAGATTTGCAGATGACACAAGATTGGGCAGGGTAGTTAATACCTTAGAAAATGGAAATGTAATTTAAATGTGAGTCAATAGTGTGATGTGACTGGGAAAAAAAGGCTAAGTAGTATCAATAGCACTGTCTATATCACAAGAAATAATAATTCCACTTAATTTTGGGCAGTACATATTAAGGATTCAGACAAACTGACACAAGTTCAAAGAAGAGAGATCAGGAAACTATAAATTAATCTGTCTGCGAACATTGAAGGACATCTTTAGGCTTCAGAAGATTGGGTTGATATGCTAGAACTCTTCAAATACCTGAAAAATGTGATATAGAAGTAGGTGAAAAATTATTCTTAGAGTGCAGGTCATTAAATAATGGGCTGAAGTTATAGGAAGGTAGATATTGATTGATATCAAAGAAGTTTGTCAATGGAACAAATTGCCCATATAGTGGTAGGTTCCATGTCACTGATGCGTTTGAACAAGGCAAAACAGCCATTTTTTTGGAATTCTTAAATCTGGATTCCTGCACTGATTAGGTGGTTGGACTTGATGGCCTAAGTAGTCCCTTACAAGTAGTAGTCCCTTACAATTAGCTAATAAGTGAGAATTGATTACATGGGGTGGGGTTTGGGGGGAAGTTACCCATTACCCCATTGTAATCCTAATCTGGTTTGAAACAAACAAACAAAAAAACCTCTAAAAAGTATTATATCTTAGCATATTTGGTTGTTTATTACCTAGACTACACTTCTGTAAAAATAAAAGAGATTTTATGTCATCCAAGCAACTTTGCTTGTATATTATACTTTTATAAAATGTGTTTAAATATAAAGTTCAAGTTTTCTTAATGCAGAAATGACATTATGTGCACAGCAAATGAACAGACTAAGCATTACAGGTAGTCCTTGAATTATGACCATAACTGAACCTGGCATTCAGCTGTAAATCATGCTGGCCATAAAGGGGCCACCTGACCTGATTTTCTAACCTTTATCATAATAGTCATTAACGAACACAGTGATGGTTAAGTGAATATAGCATGGTAAAGCAAATGCAATGGTTATTAAGTAGACATGGTGGTTATTAAGTAAACCATCTGTTCGCTATGGGGCAATTTTTTATTGGAAATCAGAAGTAAACCAGCCATTAATGCAGACCGGTTGCTGAGCCCCCGAAATGTGGTCATGTGACTGCAGGGATGTGTGATGTCAGAACTTTGAAGCCAGGTCACAAGTAACATTTTAGGATCCTTCGTAAGTTCAAATGGTCACTAAGGACTTATTGTAAGTCAAGGACTACCTTTACTTTGTCAACTATAAATACTGGACTGATAGTATGAATTTATCATACCTTACAAGAGCTCTTTTCTGTTCAAAGTCCAAATTAGTTTTCAGGAATTGCATTAATGTGCATTTTCTCTTTTTTTCCTTCTAGGTTTTAGCCAACAGACATTCTGTGGAAGGAACCCAAGAGGAGATGGGGGGCAGAGATAGCAGGCTTTATTACATTAACCCTTTATATGATGAAACAGAACTTAGTGTTTAAGTCTTACCAGTTCATGCATTGCTAGCAGTTTCATATCAAAAGACTCAGTCACTGATTACCCTTAGATACAGATTTCAGATTTGTGCAGTTATGTGCATTATACCAAGATCTGTGTGATGTGGCCTGAATTAAATTGTGGGTAATTTTGTAAGTAAAGGCAACTAATGAATGGAGCTCATCATAAGGAAATCTATTTCTAATCATTTATAGTTGTATTCCTTCACTTGGTGTCCTCCATATCCCATGAAATTGCAACCATTTTCAAGCAACATTTTCCAACGACTTGAAAAATTGGAGAAATGCTGATCGGCAGAAATATTCATGAGATTTCTACAAGAAATCCCTGGTACAATTAAACAGAGTATAGCATATTGTATATTCATTCCCCATTCTTCCATGGAAATATTGCAGTCCAGTCAAACTTTATGATCTTTGCTTCATTTAAGAAATCCTCTGCAAGTGAAGCAATGAGACCTTTACTGGATTTAAGGTGTTAATGCTGTTAGAGTCTGTTGGCCACAAGAAAAAGAAATGGAGAGTGTTTGCTGTTTAAGGAAGCACATCAAGTTCTGAGCACAATAGTATAGAAATATCTTCATAAACCAAATGGAATACGTTCACTATAGGGCAGCACAGGAGGTAACGGGGCTTGAAGACACACCCTATGTCAGAAGTAGGCAACTTAGAATCTTCTAGATTTTTTGGACTTTCATTTCCTCCTTGGAGAAAGATGCCTGAAGACGGACAGACAAAGAAACAAATTAATCCAGAGCTGGCCTCAAAGCACAAATAATCAAACCCAAATGTTATCTCAGAACCATTGCACCATATCTTTCAAAAAAATCCTGGAGCACTGGAGGTACCTGAGGATTAGAAAAGGGCTGATGTGGTTCCCATCTTCAAGAAAGGAAAAAAAAAAAAAAAAAAAAACAGACCCAGGAAACTACAAACTACAGAAAAGCAAAGTTTTACATTTAGGCAGGAAAAATCAAATGTATAAGTACATAAGTAGGTGAGACCTGGCTCAAAACAGTAACAGTGAGTGGGACCTTGGAGTCCTAGTGGATGATCACTTGACTATGAGCCAGAAGTGTGCAACAGTAGCCAAAAAAGCTAACACAATCCTGGTCTGTACAAACAGAGGCATAGAATCAAGATCACGCAACGTATTAGTATCGCTTTATAAAACCTAGTACGACCACGCCTCGAATACTGCAACCAGTTTTGGTCACCATATCACAATACTACAAAAACGATGATAAGACCTTGGAAAAAGTTCAGAGAAGAGCAACTAAATTGACCAAAGGCCTGGAGACTAAAACATGAAGAACGGCTGCAGGACTTGGGTTTGGCTAGTCTAAAGAAAAGAAGAAATAGGGGTGACATGATAGTAGTATTTTAGTATTTGAGGGACTGTCACAAAGAGAGGGTCAAATTATTGTCCAAAGCACCAGAGGGCAGGACAAGAAACAATGGTTGGAAACTGATCAAAGGGAGAAGCAACCTGGAATTAAGGAGAAACTTCCTAACAGTGAGAACGATTAACCAGTGGAACAGCTTGCCCTCAGAAATTGTGGGTACTTCATCCCTGGAGGTTTTTAAGATGAGACTAGACAGTCAATTGTCTGAGATGATATAGGTTCTCCTGCTTGAGCAGTGGGCTGGACTAGAAGACCTCCAAGGTCCCTTCCAGCTCTATTCTATTCTATTCTATTCTATTCTATATTATCCTATTTGGACATCTTATCCAAAGACCTAGCTCTCTAGAGAAGGCTCTAATGCTGGGAAAGGAAGGAAAGAGAAGAAGAAGATGACTGACAGCAAAGGGAATAGACTCAGTTACAGTGCTGATGGGTGCATCATTGGAAGAGCTGAAGGACCAGAGCATAATGAAGAAAAGAACTTGCTGGCATGTAATCATTTTCACCAACTCCAGTCAACCTAAGCACTGACAAAGGACTAGAAATTGTAGTTGAAAACATTTGGATATCAGGTTGTCTAGTCCTGAACTTAAGAAGAAAAATTAACAGAGCTGCATTTGCTTAGCCTGGAGAAAAGTGTCCCTTTCCCTCATTCCTATTTCTGATAGTAAAGCTTTGGAAAGAGAAAGGAAGTATATTTAATCTGAGCAGGAAACATATAAGAGGAAAAAATCAAATTTCCATCTGAACATCTCATGTGAGCCATTATCTTGGAGACAGATTGTAATGCTTTTAAATGCTATAGAGTAGCTGTCATATTTTGGCAGCACTTGTAATGTAAGTCAAAAGAGTTCCAAAATTTCTGAAAAATGAAGAGGGATTCTAGTCCTGCTAAGCATCAACTTGCCATGACTTCTGGTATTTCATTGATGGCCCCATAAATGAAATGCAAATATGTATATTCTTTACCTATGCTATATTAATATAAAAGGTAGGAGTTTGTCTTTTTTAAATGAAATATAATGAAATACTAATGTTAAGAAAAGACTATCAATCCTTGTTATGAAACACATACACACACAAACACACCACACACAATTTTAGATAACACTGGAAGCCAGCAAAAAATTAATCCATTTTGTTTCTATTTGTTGTCCTTAAGTCTATTGTAAGACGCAGAAGTTTCTGTGAAGTGTGTTTAGATAGGTAGATTTATTGAATTTGGTAGCCGCGACTTTTTCTATAAGTTTGACTATTGTTTTTGAGTGTTTTGCTTTGTTTACTTTACTGTTTATTGACTGGAATTAGATAAATAAAACTGTTGGGTTTGCACACTACATGAAGTTATGATACTGTTTGCTCGGGCCTAGTTTATTGTGTGAACCCATCCAACGTGATTTGTAAATCATTATTCCTACCTTGTGAATTTGGAATCTCACTAATGAAATGCTATTAAATAATTTCAGTTCAATGTTTTCTTACAGTCCAATTTAACTTTAAAAACAATATGAAGGAATTAATTCACAAGGCAGTAGGAATGCAAATGGAGATCCTGTTTATTTGCTAATTGCTGAAAAAGATTAAATGGAGAAATAAGTAACATAAAGAAGGGGCAGTGTCAGGGTTCCGGGTGAAAAGTCCAACGAAGTAAGCACACCAGAGACATTGTGATTTCTAATGGAAAACTTTATTAGGCATAGCATACTGATATGATAGAAAGAATACCAAGTCTGGCAATATGGCAGGAAAAAGTTAATTAAAACAGTAAAACCTTCCTTCCCCTCTCTGACAATTCAGGTCATATTGTCCAATTAATCTCAAAACTTCTGTTATGAGAAAAAAACCTCTGTTCTCCAAAATATTTCTTCAATGACTTCGGGTCTCACCTGTACATTCCAAACCTTCTCACTCCTCCCTCTGGACTGTTGGCAAGCTAGAAGCATCATGGCAGTTCTAAAGCAAGGGATTTTCATGACAGGCAGGTTAAAAGATATCATTTTTGGTCTTTGACAACATCATGCTATGATATGTTCTGCTATTATAAGTAGCCATGGTGGCACAGTGGTTAGAATGCAGTATTGCAGGCTAATTCTGCCAATTGCCAGCAGTTCGATCCTGATTGACTCAAGGTTGAGGTCAGCCTTCCATTCTTCTGAGGTCAGTAAAATGAGGACCCAGATTGTTGGGGACAATATGTTGACTCTGTAAACCACTTAGAGAGGGCTTTATAGCACTATGAAGCAGTATATAAGTCTAAGTGCTATTGTTATTAGAAGAAAAATCCATTTTCCACACTCTCAAAATTGAGTCACATTTTGATTGGGAGGCCTTAGAAATCAATCAATCAATCAATGTCATTAGTTGCATTTTGGCTTATTAATGAAACTCTCAGAGTTTTGGCATTTGTGTTTCAGAATTAATCATCTTATTGTTCCCAGGCAAAGAGCAGATTTGGAGAAGTAAAGAGATGGTCAGACCCTACTCTGATTAGACAATTAATATCATCTTTTCCAAGTCTTATTTAATACACATGTTATTAGTAGGCTGGCCAGCCAGCATTTCCCAGTTGAATGCCCTGCAAATGTGTTGGAGAATAACTGTGATCTATATTCATAGATGCTTATTAGCATGAAAATGAGGGGTGCATGTGTCACTCTACCTTGCAAGTTAATTTAAATTCTTTTCTTATGTTTATCCTCTCATTATGCTAGCATAGGCTGTTCCAATCTCATGCTTTCCTTATAAGTTGGAATAGAGCTCTCGCTGGTGGAGGAGGCTGGTGGAGGAGAAGGAGGACAACTGTAATGCATCAATCTGAAGAATACAAGTTGGGAAAGGCTATGTTAACATATTTATTTTTCTGGAAACCTACTTAAAGAAATCTAAAATAGCAACAAGTCAACAAAGGTGGATAAAATAAAAATTGTGAAATTTGCATCCATGCACACCAATTACATTGTTTCCTCGTGGGATAGGCAATGTTATGCAAAGTGGAAAAAAGGATAACAAACAATAATAAAAACAACAAACAGTATGCTAAAATTATTAAAAGCATGAGATGAGGTATATGTGTATGTTAAATATGCTGTACACTATTCACTTTAGATCAGTGGTTCTCAACCTGTGGGTCGGGACCCGATTTGGGGTCGAACGACCATTTCATGGGGGTCGCCAAATCATGCTGTCCACCATTTTGTTCCCTTTTCCCTAGCTGTCCTACTCCCTCTTATTGGTGGCCACACCCACTTGGGGGTCACCACAACATGGGGAACTGTATTATGGGGTCACGGCATTAGAAAGGTTGAGAACCACTGCTTTAGATCCTCATCTTCTATCCTCACAAACCTCACTTCTATCAAATCTACATACCATTTCATTCATTACTTTTTGTTCTTTAATCTGACATGTCCAGATATCTAAATAATATGTTGAAAGAAAGGGAATACTTACTTAACATTCTGCCTACAGGATCTAGATAATCTCAATAAGGACAGCTAGGAAAGCAACAAATGACATTGAAATATATTTGTGCCGAGTCTACTTTTCAATGCATACAAATCATGGCCTGATTGTATTTGTAGCCCTATGATGGAAAGTCAAGCACAGCAAAAGAACGTATGTGCATTCTGAAACTCTCAGAGAGAATTTCATCTTTCAAGGTGCCTTTGAACAATATAGAATCATAATAGAAAATATATTTAATAAAGTGGATGATTCCAAACTTCCCTTAAATTTTAATTCTTTGTAATTGATGAAATTGCTGTTTAATTTTATCTGTGGGCTGTGTATCTCAACAGAAGTATGAAGATATAAAAATATCTACATATGCAGACTGATCACTGACAGTAGTTCTCAGTAGAACCAGTTCACACATATAGTTAAACAAATGTGTGTGAGAAATGCAACATCAGCATTTAAAAACAAAACCAAAAACCACCAAACAAAACATACAATTGTTATTTCTAATGAAAAATATTTTCTTTCTGTTTTCAAGCTATAATAGGTCCAAATGAGTTTAGTCTGAGAGTTCCATAATGCTTCTTTAACATTCTTTTCCATCATAATTATGTTTGTCTCTCTGTGTGTAAACATAAAAAAAAGATACAGAAGTGTTGGGAAAACACAGATGGAATATGACAATATTTCAACTTTCTTAAAATAGAGATAGAACTGTTACAAAATAAAAGCTTTGCCTGGAAGTACCATGTTTTCCCAAAAATAAGACCCGGTGTTATATATTTTTTGCCTCAAAAAGAGGCACTAGATCTTATTTTCACGGGACGTCTTACCTTAGGACCACTGCAGCCAGGCCTCCCATGATACCTGTCGCGCTACTGTTTGACTTCTTCAGCGGTCGCTTGTTGCCATTTGCAGCTGGACGACACATGGCACATTGCACCAGCATCGCCAGTCGTGGCAGGACGCCACATGGTGCTTCATGCCAGTGCTGCCAGTTATGGCAGGAGGCTGTGCAGTGCTTTGGGCTGTTTGC